GACCATGGAACATCTGCAAGAAAACCACCAAGTGCAGAGAGTACCAAGGACCCCACAGTTCTTTTCTTCTTCTTCTTCTTCTTCTTCTTCTTCTTCTTCTTCTTCTTCTTCTTCTTCTTCTTCTTCTTCTTCTTCTTCTTCTTCTTCTTCTTCTTCCTCCTCCTCCTCCTCCTTCTCCTCCTCCTTCTCCTCTCTGTCTCCCTTCTAGTACTGATAATGTTACTTAGTTGGACCATGGAACATCTGCATGAAAATCACTAAGTTAAGAGAGTACCAAGGACCCCACAGTTCTTTTCCTCCTCCTCCTCCTCCTCTCTGTCTCCCTTCTAGCACTGACGATGTTCCCTAGTAGTTGGACCCGTGAAACATCTGCCAGGAAAGGTTGGAGAGCACCAAGGACCCGTCCTTTCAACCCGGAGCTACAACGATTCTCCTTTAAATGTCTGAGGAATCGCAAGCTCAGGAGAACGTGCTGCGCTTCGGAGTCATTATCTCCGAAGGTGTTACACGGTGTGTGTTGTTTTCTGGCAGAGGTCTGTGCATGCAAGTCAGCAAGTATCATCTGAGCCCAGAAAAATGGGTTAAGGTTTAGTTACAAGCCACAATGAAGCCTGACGTTTCCCAGGAACGGGATGACTTAACTCCCAGAATTTAGCTGGGAACACTTTTATTCCTTTCCAAACAAAGAAGATTTCATTAGAAAAGGAAATACGTATTTTATGCCGCTTTCCCCAAGCTGGACACCCGACTTCAACTCCCAGAAACCTCAGCAAAGGGGAAGGGAATTCTGGGAGTCCTCCAGTTACAGTCATTGCTTTAGTGACCATTTAAAGTTGCAACAAGCTGACTTACAATCATTGCTTGTGCTTAGGACTGTTGCGGCATCCCCGGGGTCACGTGATCAAAATTCAGATGCTAGGCAAGTGACTCATATTTATGACGGTCGCAGCGTGCAGGGGTCATGTGATCCCCTCTCGCCCCTTTGCCAACCGCAAAAGACTTATATACCGCTTCACAGGGCTTTACGGCCCTGGTGGGATCATAAAATAGAGAAAGTCATAGAAAATGATAAAATGAAACTGCTCTGGGACTTCAGAATTCAAACAGACAAGCACCTGCAACATAACACCCCGGACTTAACAATTGTCGAGAAGAAAGACAAAAAAGTCTGGATAGTGGATGTGGCAGTGCCTGGAGACAGCAGAATAGACGAGAAAGAAATGGAGAAGATAACAAAATACAAAGACCTACAAATAGAAATAGAAAGACTGTGGTAAAAGCAAGCAAGGGTAGTACCAATAGTAATAGGTTCCTTGGGTGCAATCCCAAAACAACTGGAGCACCATTTGAACACCATTGGCATTGACAAATTCACTATTAGTCAATTGCAAAAGGCGGCCTTACTAGGAACTGCTTCCATCTTGCGACGATATCTGTAATACCATCAAACATCCACATCTGCCTATCCCAGGTCCTGGGTAAGGACTCGATAGGTAGACAAAAGGCCAAATCCAGTCTGAACATCTGGCTGACTATGCGATGATCCATAATAATAACAACAACAACAACAACAACAACAATAATAACAACAACAACAACTGAGATGATCCATAATAATAATAATAATAATAATAATAATAATAATAATAATAATAATAATAATAATAATAAAGGTGGTTCTTTGGCCAGAGTAAAGAGAAAGATTTTTAAACAGGGCACATTTTTCTCTTGATGATATATATATATATATTGCAAAAAAACACAAACAAACACGCCCACAAGGGCCCGTTTTTTAAATCCTTTATTTTTGTTTTTTTATCCCCAAACCAAATTGGAGGGTAATTTACCGAAAGAGATTGCAGCCGGGCGCACATTTGGAGGGATCATTAAAGACTATTATGCTCCTGTCCCCGAAGCAGCTGAAGAATCCTTAACGACTGCCTGCCAAACAAGAAATACGAAATTCATTAAAATGCAGCTCTTTCCAAAGTCCCGGCGCAGCCCCTGCAGGGTCTCTGAGTTTGCTCATTGGACAGGTAAAGTCCTCGGCTTACGACCGCGGCTGAGCCCAAAATGTCTGCGGCTAAGGGAGACCGTTGTTACGAGTCAGTTTGGCCCCATTCTACGACCCTCGTTACTAAGCGAATCACTGCAGTTTGCTGAGCAACACGGTCGCTAAGCGGATCTGACTTCCCCGTGGACTTTTGTTTGCGAAACGGTCATAAAAGGGGGTCACATGATCCCTGGGACGCTGCAACCGTCACAAGTACATGCCAGTTGCCGTGCCTATGAATTTTGATCAGCTGACCCACAGGGGACGCTGCGACGGTGTGAAAAACAGTTATAAATCCCTTTTTTCAGCGTCATCGTAACTCGGAAGGGTCACTAAATGAACAGTCCTAAGCCGAGAACCAGTTGTATAGATTTTGTTCCTCACTCCCTCCAAAGGCAAATCCACGGGACAGGCAGTCCTTGAGTTACGACCGTCACGGAGTCTCTTCGTGACAGTCGTAAAACAGGGCCGTTAGCTCACCCGTCCCAGTTTATCATGTTTCTGGCGGTGGTCGTTAAGCAGAACGTTGCAAGCGCGAAGGCTCTGGTCGTGAAGCAAATGCCACGGTCGTAAGTGCAAGCCCGTCGTTTGCTATGGGTGCGGTTTCGCCAAAGCCTGCAACACTCGCTGAGCGAACGTTGCGGTGCTAAGTGTGAAAGTTGTGGTCATAAGTGCTAACCCCTTGTGCCAACCATGGGAATGAACTGCTGGTTTTAAACAAACGGTTGGGAAATGGGGTCACGGGGCCAAATGGAGGTAAATGGGACCGTTTTGCCTGAAGGGTGATCCTGTGATTGGAAGGGACCTGGGAGGTCATCTAGTCCAACCCGCTGCTCAGGCTGGAAACCCTGTAACATTTCAGACAAAGGGCTGTCCATCAGAACAGTTGTGACCATCAGAACTTCGGACCTACAATGTGCATCCCTTTTTTTTCCATTTATGACAACAGTGGAGCCCAAAACTTACGTTGCTATGTGAAACATTTGGTAAGCAGGTTTTGCCCCACTTTACGACCTCAGCGTGGGGTCCTCAATGGAACCGCATCTCCATTGAGGAAGTGTGTAGTGGGGTGCCCCAGGGCTCTGTTCTGGGCCCGGGGCTCTTCAACATCTTCATCAACGATCTGGATGAGGGGATAGATGGGGAACTCATCAAATTTGCAGACGACACCAAGCTGGCAGGAACAGCCAACACTCCAGAAGACAGGCTTAGGATACAGGAGGATCTGGACAGACTCGAACACTGGGCACTACCTAACAAAATGAAATTCAACGGTGAAAAAAGTAAGGTTCTACTTTTAGGCAAGAAAAACCAAATGCACAGGTATAGTATAGGGGGTAACTGTGAGAGGGACCTCGGAGTCCTAGTGGACAATCACTTAAATATGAGCCAGCAGTGTGTTGCAGCTGCCAAAAAAGCCAACACAGTGCTGGGCTGCATCAACAGAGGGATAGAATCAAGATCACGTGAAGTATTAATACCACTCTACAATGCCTTGGTAAGGCCACACCTGGAATATGGCATCCGTTTTTGGTCACCGCAATGTAAAAAAGATGTTGAGACTCTAGAAAGAGGGCAGAGAAGAGCAACAAAGATGATCAGGGGACTGGAGGCTAAAACATACAAGGAACCGTGGCTGGAATCGGGTATGTCTGGTTTAATGAAGAGAAGGACGAGGGGGGACAGGATAGCAGTCTTCCAGTATCTCAGGGGCTGCCCCAAAGAAGAGGGAGTCAAGCTATTCTCCAAAGCCCCTGAAGGCCGGACAAGAAGCAATGGATGGAAACTCACCCAGGAAACAAGCAACCTGGAATTAAGGAGAAACTTCCTGACTGTTAACCAGTGGAACAGCTTGCCACCAGAAGTTGTGGGTGCCCCATCACTGGAAGTGTTCAAGAAGAGACTGGACAGCCCTTTGTCTGAAATGGTGTAGGGTTTCGTGCCTGAGCAGGGGGTTGGACTAGATGACCTCTGAGGTCCCTTCCAATTCTGAGATTCTGAGACAAATTCTGAGATCTCCTCAAGTTGTTAGGATTGAGCAATCCTGGCTAAGATGTTCCTACCATATTTGCAGAGGCCAAGACTTTGGGCTGGTCAGGAAGAAGCTGTGTTTACACTGCCAGGTAGGCAACGAACGGGTTCCTTGCTAGATTTTTTTAAATCCTGCTCGCTGCTTGTTTGCTGTTCTCGGTCCTTAATCTTATTAAATGTTAGTAAATTGAGGCAGGATGTTTGCGTATTCTGATTTGCATAAATCAGTGCAAAGGCAGGTAATAAAGGAATGGCTGGCCGTGTAGAAAACTGAATGGAGCTGAAGAGAAGAGAAATATTAAGCGGGTGAGGTTCACCAGTGTCAGCTTCCTCTCTCTCTTTCTTTCTTTTTTCTTTCTCTGTTTCTTTCTCTCTTCCTCTCTTTTTCCTGTCTCTCTCTTCCTTTTCTTTTTCTCTCTTTCTCCCTTTCCTTTATCTCTTTCTGTCTTCCTTTTTCTTCCTTTCTCATTCTATTTCTATCTTTCTCTTTATCTGTTTCTTTCTCTTTCCTTCCTCTCTGTCTTTCTCTCTTCCTTTTTTTTATTCCTCTGTCACTATCTTTCTGTGTCTTCCTCTTTTTTCTCTCCTCTCTTTTTTCTTTCTCTCCCTCTTTCTTCCTCTCTTTTTCTCTTTCTCCTTTTCCTTTATCTCTTTCTGTCTTCCTTTCTCATTCTATTTCTATTTTTCTTTTTCTCTGTTTCTTTCTTTCCCTTTCTCTTTCCTTCCTCTCTGTCTTTCTCTCTTCCTTTTTTTTATTCCTCTGTCACTGTCTTTCTCTGTCTTTTTCTTTTTCTCCTCTCCTCTCTTTTTCCTTCTCTCCCTCTTTCTTTCTCTCTTCCTCTCTCTTTTTCCTGTCTCTCTTCCTTTTCTTTTCCTTTCTCTCTTTTTATCTCTTTCTGTCTTTCTCACTCTTTCTATCTTTCTCTTTCTTTGTTTCTTTCTTTCCCTTTCTCTCCTTCCTCTCTGTCTTTCTCCCTTCCTTTCTTTTTCTCTCTCTGTCACTGTCTTTCTCTGTCTTCTTCTTTTTCTTTCTCTCCTCTCCTCTCTCTCTTTCCTTCTCTCCCTCTTTCTTTCTCTCTTCCTCTCTCTTTTTCCTGTCTCTCTTCCTTTTCTTTTTCTTTCTCTCTTTCTCTCTTTTTATCTTTCTGTTTTTCTCACTCTATTTCTATCTTTCTCTTTCTCTGTTTCTTTCTTTCCTTTTCTCTTTCCTTCCTCTCTGTCTTTCTCTCTTCCTTTCCTTTTATTCCTCTGTCATTGTCTTTCTCTGTCTTCCTATTTTTCCTTTCCCCCCCCCTCTCTCTCTCTCACCCAGTAATCATCTAACCTGACAATTCCGTCTTCTAAATGGCCTCAGAACATCTCCTGCCCGGTTTTACTCTTTTATGATGCGATTCCGCCTTTAATAACCTTCCCTCTCCATTCACTCTGAGCATTTAACAGCCACCTGGAACAGAAGTTTAATCAGGTGGAATTATCCTCCTGCTAACGTTCCCTTAACCTCTGGGTTTCTGATCTCCCCCTTATCACCTAAAACTTTTAAATCCTTCTTTTGATCGATGACTTTTCCCATTTTCCGCGGAGTCGAGGCTGGTGCCTGGGCGCGCAGTGCCGGGGTCACCGGCAATTTTTAAGAGGTCTTAATTCCCGCCTGCGCCCCTGTTCCAACCAGGTTTGCTTTACGCCCCCGTTAATTATTTTAATGCCAACCTGCAGCTTTAAAAGAGACCTTTATTAAGCCCCCTAAATCTTCCCTTTTATTGTTATTTAAACACTTTCTCCCCATCCATTATGGAGATGTGTTTAGAGTCTGCGGCCATCCGTCTCCTGAAATAGATGGCTGCCATCCATTCGTCAGCCAGCAAACTGACAATTTGGCTTTACAGATTGGAGGGGAGGGGAGGGGGCAGGACCCCGGGAAGCTGCGACCGTCATAACCGTGAGTCAGTTGTCCAGCGTCCGAATTTTGGATCGCGTGACCGTGGGGATGCCCCAACGGTCGTAAGAGTGAAACACGGTCCGGAGTCAGCTTTTACCAGGGCTGTGGTGACTTTGAACGGACGCTAAACGAACGGTGGGAAGTCCAGGACTTATTAACCTGGAGTTAGCTTTGTGAACGTGCCAGGTGAACCCGGCTTGCAGAATTGAATGGCCTGTTTCAAGTACTGAGGGGAAAGTATTGAAAAACAAAAACAAAAAAAAATCTAGAAAAAGCTAAGCAGATCATTAAAGAATGGAGGCTTTTCAGCTATGGAAATTGCATTAACTTGACTTAGATTTTAAGAAGAGACTGGACAGTCATCTGTCTGAGATGTTGTAGGTTCTCCTGCTTGAGCAGGGGGCTGGACTAGAAGACCTCCAGGGTCCCTTCCAGCTTCTATTCTATTCTATTCTATTCTATTCTATTCTATTCTATTCTATTCTATTCTATTCTATTCTATTCTATTCCATTCCATTCTAATTTATATTCTATTCTATATTCTATTCTATTCTTTCTTATTCTATTCTATTCTATATTCTATTCTTTCTTATTCTATTCTTTCTATATTCTATTCTAATTTCTATTATATTCTATATTCTATTCTATTCTATTATTTCTATTCTATATGCTATTCTTTCTTATTCTATTCTATTCTTTCTATATTCTATTCTAATTTTTATTCTATTCTATATTCTATTGTATTTTATTATTTCTATTCTATTCTATATTCTATTATATTCTATTCTTTCTTATTCTATTCTGTTCTTTCTATATTCTATTCTATTTTATTATTTCTTATTCTATTCTATTCTATATTCTATTCTATCTTATTCTATTCTATTCTTTCTTATTCTATTCTATTCCATTCCATTGATTCCATTCCATTCCATTCCTTTTCTCTATTCTATTCTATTCTATTCTGTTCTATTCAAGATTTTGTGCAGCCATGCAGAGCCATCTTCGCCCTGCTGGATAATTACAACCCAGAATAGCCACCATCTCTGGCTAATTAGCCCTCTCACCTTTTCTCTTTCATCTCCTTGTTTATTCTTCGCTCTTCAAACTAGAAAGGCAAGCTAACTAACCACCTGCGCATTTGTAAAATCAGCTTCGCTGCTGCTGGTGCCGTCCGCTGATTTTTGTGGCCAAATAGCAGGGGGTGGGGGGGTCCCCATTTTTTTTAAATTTCACAGGGAAACAACCTAAGCAGAAAATTATCTGTTGCTTGACCGGGGGCTGGTGGTGGTCCCACAATAGAAGAGATGCTCATGGGATAAAGTCAGAAAAGTCAAAAGGGCAGCCTGGTCGATGCAATCAAAGCTTTGCCCCCAAAGGACCTGAATACGGAACTTCGGTCGCAGGGTGTCCTCGACTTACGGACACAATTTTCCCGTTGCTAAGCAAGACGTCGGCGAAGTGAGTTTGGCCCCATTTTACAACTTTTCTTACCACAGTTATCCAGTGAATCCCTGCCATTCTTAAGTTAGTCACCCGGACGTTAAGTGAATCCATATCAGAAGGTCACAAAAGGGGTCACTTGACCCCGGGATTCTGCGACCGTCATAGATACGAGTCAGTTGCCAAGGGTCTGAATGTGGATCGTATAAGCCCGGGGATGGTGCAAAGCTTCTTAAGTGTGGAAAATGGTCATAACTTTTTTCAGTGCCGTTGTAACTCTGAAAGGTCACTAAATGAGCGGTTATAAAATGAGGATTATCTGTACGTCATTGTGCCTTCCATTCCTCCCCCCCCCCCAAAGATGCTTTTTCACGAGATGAACTGGACTTTGTTGTTCCATTTTGATTTTTTTTTCCAGCCTAGACTAGACTCTAGTCTAGCAACTTTACAAATTTGTCATTGGCGCTTTGATTTCATGAATTGAGCTGTGATGATGATGATGATGATGATGATGGTAATAATAATAATAATAATGAGGAGGAGGAGGAAGAGGAAGAGGAGGAAGAAGAAGAAGAGGAGGAAGAAGAAGAAGAAGAAGAAGAAGAAGAAGAAGAAGAAGAAGAAGAAGAAGAAGAAGAAGAAGAAGAAGAAGAAGTAAGAAGAAGAAGAAGAAGAAGAAGAAGAAGAAGAAGAAGGAAGATGATGATGAAGGGACCTTGGAGGTCTTCTAGTCCAACGAAGAAAAAAGGAGGAGGGGAGGCGGAGGAAAGGAGAAAGAGAAAGTAATAGTAGTAGCAGTAGTAGTTGGAAGGGACCTTGGAGGTCTTCTAGTCCAAACCGAGAAGAAGAGGAAGAGAAGGAGGAGGAGGAGGAGGAGGGGAGAAGGAAGAAGAAGAAGGAGGAAGGAAGGAAGGAGAAGAAGAAGAGGAGGAGGAGGAGGAGGAGGAGGAGGAGGAGGTGGAGGTGGAGGAGGAAGGGACCTTGGAGGTCTTCTAGTCCAACCGAAGGAGGAGGAGGAGGAGGAGGAGGAGGAGGAGGAGGAGGAGGAGGAGGAAAAGGAGAAAGAGAAGTAATAGTAGTAATAGTAGTAGTAGTTGGAAGGGACCTTGGAGGTCTTCTAGTCCAACCCTAGAAGAAGGAGGAAGAGAAGGAGGAGGAGGAGAAGAAGAAGAAGAAGAAGAAGAAGAAGAAGAAGAAGAAGAAGAAGAAGAAGAAGAAGAAGAAGAAGAAGAAGAAGAAGAAGGAAGAAGAAGAAGAAGAAGAAGAAGAAGAAGAAGAAGAAGAAGAAGAAGAAGAAGAAGAAGAAGAAGAAGAAGAAGAAGAAGAAGAAGAGGTGGTGGTGAAGGAAGAAGAAGAAGAAGAAGAAGAAGAAGAAGAAGAAGAAGAAGAAGAAGAAGAGGAGGAGGAGGAGGAGGAGGAGGAGGAGGAGGAGGAGGAGGAGGAGGAGGAGGAGGAGGAGAAAGAGAAGTAATAGTAGTAATAGTAGCAGTAGTAGTTGGAAGGTACCTTGGAGATCATCTAATCCAACCCCCTGCTCAGGCAGGAAACCCTATACCATTCCAGACAAATGGCTGTCCAGTCTCTTCTTGAAAACCTCCAGTGATGGAGCACCCACAACTTCTGGAGGCAAGCAGTTCCACTGGTTAATCGTTCTCCCTGTCAGGAAATTCCTCCTTAATTCCAGGTTGCGTCTCTCTTTGGTTGCTTCTTGTCCTGCCTTCAGGCGCTTTGGAGAATAGCTTGACCCCCTCTTCTTTGGGGCAGCCCCTGAGAGATTGGGAAGACTGCTGTCCTGTCCCCCCTGGTCCTTTTTTTCCCCCCATTCAACTAGACATATCCAATTCCAGCAAGGGACCTCGGAGGTCATGTAGCCCAACCCCCTGCTCGGGCAGGAAACCCTAAAGCATTTCAGACAAAGGGCTGTCCAGTC